ACAAGGATCTAAGCAAACTAAGGCGAATTTTGATTGATAATAATTATCCAGGAAGGCTGGTTGATAACTATTTTATAATATTGTCAAATATAATGAACGGAAATGCATATTTGGGGCTAGATAAAAAGATGGATTACTCTTTTTTGTATGAGAGTGTCCCTTGGGAGGTAAGGATACTTGAAATAAAATGATCAAATTTGGAGACCTACAGTAATCAAGTGCATATTAAAAATTACTAATGGCCTCTAAACTTAGTCATAGAGGAGATAGCATTTCTAATCTATTTACTTTGTTTGACCTGAAATAATGCAAATGCAATATTAATGCATGCCGTCTTCAAGTCTCATCTTCGCATATTATCTAATCTTCTCACGTCTACACTATAGGAAAGTCGGTTGAATGTATAAGGATCAAGAGGCCCTGCTTACCTGTGTATAGACGGTAACTAAGGACATCAAAGGATTTAATACTTCGAATCGCCTAATGGGACAAATTTATATGTCATAGTTAACTATAAATCAGGAGGCAAATAGTTCTGCCATGAATCGACTGATTTCTTAATCGTCAATACAAATCAGTAGGTGTGGTATTTTAAAAAAATGGGTTTTCTTCTTTACGAAGTAACATAGGGCTGTAACAACTTAGTCTAAATTTATCAAACGGTCATGCTTTGATCGCTTTCTAGACCTTTATTCAATTCGAGAATCAAACTCGAAACCAGACAGATATCTATTCTTAAAATGTATGTAAAATTTAGATTTTGACTTTAAATTATCTTTAGTGCTTTTATTTATATTAAACAGCACGTATTGGTAAATTTTTATTTAATCAGGTCTTCTGACTTCCTATTTAATTGAGGCAGAGAAATAGGATATGTAATGCTGTAAATTATACTCGACTTAGCAACCATATTTGATACCAACAATCTTGTGAAGCCAAAACTTATTATGAGACTTTATATCGGTGCTATGATTCTATTGAATTTAATTTAGGATAAACGATGAAGCATAAAGTCGTTCGAAAAATATATCCTTTTTATTTTATCTTCTAATTTTTAATGTATTCTCCAGAAAAATATAGGATTGAAAAGCATTCATAATTTATTATTAAGATTTTTTAAATGTGAAGGTTATGTATATCGTTGGAGTTATTTTTATCGTGAATGTTTAAGCCTTTAATAGTACATGCTTTAATGAATCTCTGCGGGGTCTACGGTTTGTAGCCTTTCATGCGATGGTCTTACATTGTTGAGTGCATTATCCTCTCATTATGCCTGTAAGAAGGGGACACATAGCTCCACAAAACACTTTTATTGATACCCTTATAAGAAAGTTTGATGGCCAACGTAAGTGAATTGGATCCTGAATTTATATATAGAGAGAAAATTTCTTATTGCAAACGCCCTTTTACCGCGTACGCCCATTATATTTTGTAATGATGTTTTCTGCCACCTTTGTGGTTATACGCGGGCTGAAATTATTCAGAAATCTGCATGCCTCGAATTTTTATATGGCCCCTTGACATCCCCAAATGCCATTAAGGATATTCGTCTTGCCCTATCGGACTTCGAAGAGAGGGAAATCACAATGCTTCTTTACCCCAAAGATGGCACGTTTGAAACATCTTTTTGCGATTAATTCTTGCTACCCTTAATCTTGTTGACTAATCTTACGTTAATGCATATTATTTTTTTTCTATTCCAAACTCAAAATGTCCAGCATGTCTATGCAGTTTTTCAAGCTACTTTATGCGATACTTTTAATACACTGATCTCGTGTTTCCGAAACAATTTTTTTTAAATTCATGCTTATTTAGTTCAAAGCCTCACTAGACTATTTACAATCGAGTCGGACTGCATTTTTTGTCGACTTACTAAAATTTCCAGTCATCTTTTCCTTACTCTAGATGCTATATAAATTCTTTGAAAAATTTGTATTTTATGGTCCTATCTACTTATGTCTCATTATCAGCTCTCCCTCTATTTTTACCTTGTTTTTAAATATTAAGTACTATTTAGTATTTATTATATTTCCTTATTTTCAACA